AGGTTCACCACCCTGGCCCTCCTCTGGGAGCCACGAGATCGGGGAGCAGAGTCGGAAAAGTCTGGTCTTTGTATTTCTTCAAACAATAAAAAAACCCCCTTGTGTGGAGTAATCGCAGGGCTGGCCAAGACGTATCAATCAAGCAGTCCACAAGCATTTGCTGTGTATCAGCCTGTGTGCGAGGCCCTAGGGATACCAAGATGAAAAGAACCAGCCCCTGCCCGCATGGAGCTGACTTTCTGCAGGAAGAGTGATAGAACAGAAAACACGGCACCATTTCCCAAATACTCTCTCTCTCAATCTCCTCCTGCCCTCCAGTGTGGGGGAATGCAGTTCCCTGTCCGCTTACGGTGGCTGTCCCAAATACTCATGCGAATGGCCCAATTCTAGGGACTGCCTGGGCAGCTGCATGTTAGAATTGGGTCAAAGGGCTTTTCATCCACTTTCCCTTCCAGTGTGGATGGTTCGGCCTCTGTCGCCGAAGGCCGCGTGAACTTAACGAGACTCCTGCCAACGTCGCCAGCCCACGGAATCTTGAGTCTTGTTGTCAGCGCCTGTTTCCTTCAGAGCTTTTTTCCACTTTTTGTTTCCAGTGGTTATGGAGTTCCAATTACTCATCATGGATTTGGATTTTCCACTCTCATTGTGAATTCAGAAATATTTTAAGGTTGGAAAGTTATTTTTTTTTCTTGCTGCTATTTTGTTTCCTGGTTAAACTAAAATTATGAAACCAGGAAAATATATTTTTAAAAAACCCACTGAGGTGGCTATTTCTTCAATTGTAATGAAAGTTTAAAAAACAAACAAAAAACCCAAATCTGGGAAATGAAGCCCAAGAGATGAATGATTTGGGGAAGAGAAGGTGGCGAGCTGCTCGAGCCGTCTGCCTGGGCAGCGGCAGGCCTGGACCGGCCTTGGTGGACTCGGGATCCATCGGTTTGGGCCGCCTGGTGCGTGTACTCTCTGTTACATAACGCGACTGTTTGGCAACCACCCCTTCCTCCTCCTGATTGTACTCTGGCTACACGGGGGTTAGCCATCCCCGTAACCAAATGGAATAAGACAGTCCCAGCCAGAGGAGGATTTGAACCCAGTGATCCTGTCTTCAAGCTGTGCTTCCTCAAGCACAACCTTCTGCCAGCTCTTCCATAGCGCACTGGACTTGGCACGAGGAAGACCTGAGTTCAAATTTGACCTCAGACACTTCACTGTGTCGCCCTGGGCCAGTCGCTTCAGTTTCTTCTGTAAAATGAGGATGATAGTAGCCCCTACCTCACAGGGTTGTGAGTCTCAAACAAGATAACATGTAGAGTGCTTTGCAAATGGCATATAAATCCTAGCTGCTATTATTAGAATAGAAGAGGTCTTAATAATACTAAGTAGTATTATGACAACTCGGCTCATTTTGGAGTCAGAGGACCTGGGTTTGAATCCTAACTGTCCTCCTGGGTGAGCTTCACTTTCCTGGGGCTGGAACCGCTGACCCCTGAGGACCCCCCAGCTCTGGGGCCGGCAGCCCAAGAGCTCCACCACCACTTTCTCTTTTGGGTTCCCCAGTGTGTATCAGGTTAGTTTTTCCTTTTCTGTCTCAAAGGCGTGTTCTCAAAATCAGGAAGATAAGTGACAACCACAGTCAGATTCTCCCTCTTATCTTGACAGAGGAGCCATTCTCCCTGGTGTGAAGGGAAAACATGTTCCTCTGGCCTCCCTTCCCCTCTCTCTCGAAAGAGCCTCTCACCCAGGGTGGGTCTAGGCTCACCAGGAATGAGGCAGGTTATGCACTGTGGGAGCACCTCCCAGCCCAGACTGGGAGCCAGTGGGATGGTGAGCTGGGTACACTTATTGTTTGTGGAGGAAAAGCCCTCCCTGGCAGAGCAGGGTCCTGGAGGCCACACCCCGCCTCTCCCACTGCCTCCACGCTGGTACTTCCTGGCCTCTTCTCACCCTCTAAAAAGGGTCACTTTGGGCCTTGGCCTCAGCTTTCTCACACCCTCTGCTTTGTCCACCTGCCGAGCGGCGCCTAAGGAGACCTCTCTGAGTAGCTCTGGCCATCCTGCTCTGCCTGCGCTGGAGGCAGAGACGTGGGCTTCTTTAAGGGACAGGGCTGGCTGTGGCTGGTGGGAAGAAAGGCATGCAGCCGAGGAAGGCCAAAGCCTCTTTCCCTTGGTACCATTTTATGTTTTGACTACTCTAAGGTTTTAAATGTTTTATTGATATCTTTGTGTTTATATTTTATTTATACTATATATATATATATATACATATATATACATATATATATACATATATATATATACATATATATATACATATATATATACATATATATATACATATATACATATATATATACATATATATATATATACATATATATACATATATATACATATATATATATATACATATATATATATATACATATATATATATACATATATATATATATACATATATATAAAAAATATCTTTTGTGTTTTATTATCATTTCCAGATCTATCCTCCCCCTCCCCTACCCAAAGAATTAACCCTGCAATCAAAGAAATAAGATAGAGAGAAAAAAGTGATTTAGCAAAACTGAATCTGACAGTATACAAAGGGTTCCACACCCACAGGCCCCCCACCTCTGTAAAGACGGGAGGAAGGGTTAGCATTATTTCCATAGTAATGAACCGTGTTAAATTTTAAAATACTTAAAAAAAAACCAGAGGTGGCTAATGCTGTGAGAGCAGAGTGTTTTCTGTTCCCTTCCCAACCCATAAGTGGTGGGGACCGGACCAACAGTCTGAGGCCTGATTATCAAGGCCAGAGCAGGAAGAAGAAGGAAAGGAGAAAGCCCAGATAATGATTCAGAATTATAGTTACTGCAGAGACCAAAGGCTATCTGGCATCCAGAGGGAGAGAGACCGACCTCAAGTATACACCGTGGAAGCACTGAGGCCCAATGCATATGGCGGCCAGTCAAGAAGCATTCCTTGAGCTCTGGGTCCCACAGAACCGAATGACTGCTAAAGCCTCTCGTGTATTTCCCAGCCCCTTAATTGTGGCTCCTAATGACCTCACATTCTTTAGTTCTGTGAACATTAGTTAAATCAATGCTTGCTACATGTTAGGCTCCATACTAGGTGATGGAGATACAAAGTTAGCTAAGACACAGCCCCTGCCCTCGGAGAGCTTACAATCTAGCAGGAGCACAAGATGCCCACCGGGATGAGTGATATGACATCCAGAAAGGCTGCTGCTCGTTCTGGGTGGCATTAAGGGAGGTCTAGAACTAGGAATGATGGAGGTGGTGCTTCCTATGTCCTTCGAGGTAGTCTGTTACGAAGCATTTATTAAGTGCTTACTGTGTGCCACCCACTTCTTTGGGTGCCATGTTTTGGGAAGGATGTGGGCACACTGAATGGAGTACAGCAGGTGGTGGGAGGACTAGGGGGCACACTGAGCCGAGTGAGAGTAGAGAAGACTTGAGGGGCTGGCTTCAAGCGTTTGAGGGGCTCTTTGTAGGACGATGAGACTTGTGCTCATTCCCAAAGGGGAGAGCTGGGAGCCATGGTGAGGCCTTCAGAGGAGCAGGTGCAGCCTCAGAGCCACACACACGTGCGCGTGCACAATCTGCCTCCAGCTTGGAGGTCTCCACAAGGGCAAAGAGCTACCTTTAGTGGTAGTGAGTCCTCCATCGCTGCAGAGGGAGGTTCTGGGTGAAGTCAGGCTGTCCTAGACTGCGTGAGCTTAGAAGAGGCCTTGGGTTAGGGTTAGGGTTAGCGTTAGAACTGGAAGGGATAGCGCATAGCAGGTGCTCTCTAGGTGTTGGCTGTCGCTAAGTTTTCTTCCAGGAGACCCCATCCCAGAGAATTCTTTTCCAGGGAGGCTGGACAGAGCACAGGGACTTCTGGTTCTTGGACCTTCCCACCACCTCCTTGTCTCAGATTTTTACTCGGGATATTTGGAAGAGAAGTGGCCTACCCAAGGAGGGGGTGGACTGCCACTCAGTGGAGGTCTTTCAGCAGGGCTTGATGGCCCCTTGTTGGGTTTATTGTGGAGGTATGGATTGGCCTAGACGGTCACTGAGGCACGGTGCTAAGGGAACCCAAGAGGTGGCTGTGGGGGGCGCTGTGGAGAGAGTTCTGGGCCCAGAGTCAGGAAGACCCAAGTTCAGATGCAGCCGCAGGCATGTACCCACTGTGTGACTTTGGCCAAGTCACTTAACCTCTGTTTGCCTCAGTTTCCTAAGCTGTAAAATGGAGATCATCAAAATACCTCCCAGAGTTGTTGTGAGGATCAAATGAGATAATATTTGAAAAGTTCAGTTAGCATGGTGCCTGGCACATAGTAGGTGCTTAATAAATACTTGTTCCTTTCCCTTCCCCTCTTCGATTCCTCTCTGGGCCTCAGTTTCCTCATCTGTAAACCGAGGCTTCTAAGGTCCTTCTGGCTCTGAATCGTATGACCCTGTGACTGCTCAAGCTACCCCTGGAGTCAGAAGACCCAAGTTTGAGGCTCTCCTAGTGACTGTGTGACCTTGGGTCAGTCTCTTACCCTAAGACCCAGTTTCCTCATCTGTCACTACTGTATATATTAGAGAGAGCAGGGGTTTTAGAAACCATCTCGTCCAACCCTTTCATTTTACAGATAAAGCCAAAAGAAATGACTTGCCCAAGGTCTCATTGGTCATAAGTGACAGGGGCTGGATTTGAACCCATAAACTTACCTGCCTCCTGCAGCTCTCAGTCTGTGGGCCTCTCAGGACCACATGGAGATCCAAGGAAAGTGTAGGAAGCACGTTCTAGCCCCCCCCATAATACCCATGAGCTGTGCTCTCCATGAACACGAGCCCCCCTTTCCAAGGCTTCTGGACGCCTGTGATTTCCCCACTTTGGCCTGGGGCTCAGGGCTTCACTGCGGCATTGGAGAAACTGAGAGCAGCCAGCGCTGAGCCTCCCACAGCTGGCACAGACTGACCCCTCTGTGGTTTTCTCTCCCCGTTCTTTTCCACCTAGAGTATAAGAAGAAATACGGGGAGGAACACGGCTCGTGCCAGGCTGGGATAGCAGGCTTCTTCACTAGTGTGAGTATTGTCATGATGTGTGTGTGGGCTGGGGAGGGCAGTGGTGGTGTCTTGGATTATTGTTCTTCTCTCCTATGGGCTAAAAGAACCTGCCTGGGCCTCAGTTTCCTGATTTGCAAGATGAGGGAGTTCGACTTCACAGCCCCCAAACATCTTTCTAGATCCAAGTCCTTGAGTCTCTGACCCTAGGACATCTCTGGTCTTCAGTTTCCTCATCTGTGAAATGATGATTTGGTGGCCTCTAGGGTCCCTTCCACCTCTAGCCTGAGCCTTTGAACCACATTGAAATAAGCCTTTGGCTGTCCTGCTCGAGAGAACAGCCAGCACCGTGTGGGAGTGAGTAGCGCCATTTCCATGGTGGTTTGCAAAGTCCTGGGTTCCCCTGGGGGTGCTAGGTAGGCCACAGTGCGGCTGCCACCTGAGAGAAGGCTTAGACTTCTTTGGCCTCCCAAGGCAGAACTACGAAGAGGGTGGAGATCGCAGAGGGGAAAACGGAAGATTATTGTACAAAACAATTGGTTAGCAAGGGGTGCTGGCCCTGTATGTGGGGTGGGCTGCCCAAGGAGGTGGTGGAGGTCCTTCTGTGAGGCTCGGTGACCCCTCGTTGGGCTTATTGGGGAGGTATGGGTCGGACCAGATGGTCACCGAGGGCCTCAGCTCTGAGATTCTGAATCAGCTCTTAGGAGGTGGGCTGGTTGGCCTTGGTACTGCTTAAAGGGCTGTCGTCTAGAAGGATTAGACTTTCTCTGCTTGCCCCGAGAGGGAAGAATTGGATGCAACCAGTGGAAATTGCAGAGGCACATTTCAGCTCAGCGTAAGGAAAAAAAAGCCAGTGTTTCAACAATCGTTGAGTCGTGTCTGATTCTTCACAACTCCATTTGGGGTGTCCTTGGCAAAGATACTGGAGTGGCCCTTCTCCATCTCATTGTACAGGCGAGGAAACTGAGGCAAATAGGGTTAAGAGACTTGCCTAGGATGATACAACTTGGAAATGTCTGAGGCAGGATTGGAACTCAGGAGGATGAGTCTTTCTGACTCTCGGCATAGTGTGCTATGCACTATGGCGCCCCCTAGCTGCCCAACAATTAGAGCTGTCCAAAGTCTGCAGGACCCCCTTGTTGAGCATGTGGTAGATGTGGGGATTCTTGGTAAGGGCAATCAAGTTACTGTGTGCTAAGTGCTGGGATACAGACCCAAGCAGGGAGAAAGGCAGCACCTACCCTGGAGGAGCTTCTAGTCTAATGGAGGAAGATATGCAGCCCAGGAAACAGGAGAGGGGGATGGGGGCAGGGGTGCATGGTGGATGGTGTCCAGGAGGGGAGTCCCAGTGCAGCCTGGAGAAGACAGCTCCCTTTCCATATCCACGGGGCAGGCTTGTGGAGTGAGGCAGGCAGCTCAGCGGTTTTCTCTTGCTGTTCTCACCATTAAGTGGTTCCTCCCGGTCGAAGGTGGCCATTCATATCTTTGGTTGTGTGTTTCTTCATGAACACAAACGTATGTTGTATGTTGTGTGTCTATCTGGGTTTAAAGAAAAAAGCCTTTAAAATTGTAGATGCTTTTTTGGCCAGCATCAAACGAGAAAATGAAGTGCTTTTCAAACTTCACACTGCTCTGGTGGCTTAAGAGCTGGATGCTAAAGCAGAAGAGGGGTCTCCTAGCTTGCCCTGGAAGCCCCAGCCCCTTGAGGTGCCTCATTCTCCCCAGGGACAGCTCGAGGTGTTAGGCTGTCCTTCCTGACCTCCAGCCTCCCTCTGCTCCGCGGTCTCTCACGGAGCAGCTTCACGCTCCCGGTGACCTTGCGCGGGGGTGCGGCTCGCCTGGGATGCCAGGCAGGCGTGCTGTGAGGTGAGGGCCTGTGAGGCCATGGGTGGGATACGCGCCTTCCCTTTGGGTAGCGCTGGTCAGAGGCAGCTGTTTCCTGGCCTCTCTGTGCTTGGCAGCTGCTGTGGGTTCCCAGGTGCTCTCCGTCCCTTCGCTCTTCCCGTTGTTCCAGAGATGCCTTTGCTCCCTGTCTCCTGGACCTCAGCTGTTTTACATGGAGCAGGAAACACAGATCAGTGGGGGTCAGCTGGGCAGCTCCCCAGCCCTTGCCCCTTCAGCATCCTGCCATCCCCGCTCGCCCTCCAGGGGCTGGCGCTTACCTGGTGCTGAGCTTGGGAGGCATAGCAGCACAGCCCCTCCGGCCCAGCCTGTGGCTGAGGCCCCTTAACACCTGCTTGGCCTGGAGGCTCACCCTGAGCTTCTTGTGGTCTGTGAGGTGTGAAGGGTGCAAGGGGCCTCTGCGCTGCTGGCTTTGCCGAGGTCTTGTTTGCTCAGTTTCATTCTTCTTTTAAAGTTAAATTTTACTTTTTTTTCTACTTAGCAAGCATCTATTTTCTGTCCCCGTCCCTAGGTAATGGGGATCCGTGTCCTTGTTCATTATTGATCCTCTAGAATTACAAGGACCAATGGTGATTCCAGAGACCACTGGTGAAGAGCAGTTGTGACAGAGACGTTGACTTCAATGTACAGTTTAATTCAACAAGCATTTATTAAGTGCCCGCTGTGTGTGAGGCATTGGGCTGGTGCCCACACATACTAAGACAAAAATAAGCTAGTCCTGCCCTCAGGGAGCTTCTGTTTGATGGTGGCTGCCAGAGCTAGAGGCGGAAGCTGGAGAGAGGGGATGGTGTGCGTGGAGGCAGGCCAGGGAGCTGGAGCAGCGTGGTGGGTCCGGGAGGTGGAGGATCAGGGAGGTCACCCCCACTTCCTTCGAGTCTTCACAGGTGGGTCATGGGGGAGAAGGAGCAGATTTATTCTGATCAGCCCCAGAGGGCAGAGCGGGAGCAGCCCGAGGTTTGTTGTAATGAAAGACCCCTTAGCAGCCCTTGGGCCAGTGCTGGCCTTGAAGGTAGAGGGCTGGGAGGTTGTCTGAGGCTCTTGTTCTCCTGGGGAGGAGGCTTCATATGGCCTCCAAGGACCACACCATCTTTAGAGCTGTGATCCGAAGTCCCCTCCCCTCCCGAGCCTTAGTGTCCTCATTTGTAAAAGGCCTCTGAGGTCATTTCAAGACCAGGTGGGTGATCCTCTGCTGTTGGCAGGAAGGGAGAAGCCCTTCTTGACAGATGCTGTTGATGTTTGACACCCTCCAAGCCCCCAGCCCCATTTTGACTGAACATCTCAGGGCCTCTCCTTCCTCCCCGCTGGTCATGGGCCTAAGCATAGGGTAGGATGTTCCAGCCTACTGCAGCTGGGGAGCCCTTGGGAGGAAGCCATGGGGGAAGGAAGGTGCCGGCCATTTGTCACGGGGGGCTTCCTCTCTAAAGCGTGTCCTCCCAGGCCCTCAGGATGACAGTTTCATATGCACTGGTCCCCTATTTGCTCCTTCCTGAATGATCCGTGGGGAATCTCATATCTTGCCCTCTCCCATTCTGTTTCTCACGCTCTCTCCGCACTGGGCACCACATTCAAAGCCGCATTTCCTTCCTGCTCTGGCCTCTTTTCCACTTCCTCTTTAGTATCGCTGTTCTCAGTGATGGGCTGTGCATGTCCGTTCTGAGGACACGATTTCACAGGCCCATCTACTGTGGGACATGTCCTGTCCTGGGTGACTTTGGGAACTAGCATCTGGGTTAGAACTGTGGGCTCCAATCCTGGCTCTGTCACCCACGGCCTGAGTGACCTTGGATAAATCACTTAGCCCCTCCAGGTCTCAGTTTCTATATCTGCCAGATGAGAGAGTTAGATTAGATGGCCCTGAGTCCCTGCCAGCTCTAAGCTGGACTCTAAGTGCCATGTTGCTTTGTATGGAGCCGCATTTTGAATCCTGTAGTAGAGAAGGCAGGGAACTTTCATAGGATCCAAGAGCTGGTAGAGCCTCAGAGGGCATTTAATTCAACCCTCTGATTTTATAGATGGGGAAACTGAGGCCAGAGGAGGTTATAGGATTATAGATTGAGAGGCGAGAGGGGCCTCATCTAATCCAGTCCCCTAATTTTTCAGATGAGGAGACTGAGGTGCTCATGTAACTTGCCAAGGGTCACACAGGCAGGAAAAGTCAGAGACAGACAGAAATGTAATTGTTGATGTCATGATTTTCTGGCATTTTAAGGAGTGGTCATAAGGGATACTGTGTTTTCTCAGTGGGAAATGTGTCCCAGTCACCCCTGTATTACAAATACTGATCTCAGAATATGCTAGCACCCTCAGTCACCAAACTGTACCAGAATTAAACCCTGGGAACAGACCCATTTGTTACCCACAGTCACTCATACATAACAGTGATCCAGGAAGACTCAAGAACAGTGCTTTTAATAAAATTCACACTACCAAATACTCTGATTCCAGGCTCCTTGGGGCAAGAAGCTTCCAAAATGTAAAAGCCCCAGCAGAGGATGTTTGTAATGGAAGAGATGTGTGACATTACCAGTCTCCAACTGAACTCACACCTTCCTGACTCCAAGTCCGTGTTCTAACCACTACCCCATACTCCATCTCCACAGTAAAACCTAGTTTTACTCAACCAGTAAAACCTGAGGCTGGATTTGAATTCAGGTCTTCCTGACTTCAGGCCTGGTGCCCCACCGCCACCCAGCTGCCTCCTGTAATTGCTGTTGGATTGTTAGGAGAAACTCATCACCAGGTGGGCAGCAGAGAGACCATAGATAAGTTATTGAGGTCCTCATGCTCTGTCCTGGGGGAAGCAGCAGCCAGTCGGGTGAAATCATGTGGCTGTGGAGTCCCAGGCCTCTGTGCCTGGGGAGGTCTTCCGTCTGCTTTGGAGAGTATCTGCCTCCTTGCGGGCTGCCAGGACGTCCACGGCCACTTCTGGCTGCCTTCACAGTCCTACCTCTAGCGGCCCATCCCTCCTTCCTTAACTTGGGACTTATCACCTTCTGTGGGTCTGGAAGGCAAAGAAGTGACCTCTAAATCTGTGTAAACGGAACAGGAGCCCCATGTGTCCAAGCTTCTGGTGTGGGTCACAACCACAGCAGAGAGGTGCTGGGCCCTGAATTCAAATCCCACCTCTGTTATTAGTTCTGTGTCTATGGGCAAGTCATTTAACCTCAGTGTTCTCATCTGTCAAATGGGGATGATGTCCCTTAGGGTGCCGAGGTGCCCTGTGCTTGTCTGGGGTTGTTGCCATCACTGTTCTTTTCCTTAGCATCAGACCATCCAAATAGAGCTGGGAGAATCAACCAATACAACCGACCCATTATACAGATGATAAAACTAAGGACTGACACTCAGGCTCTCTGCCTCCAAACCCAGCATGCTTTCCACCGCGTCTTGCTCATCTTTTACATTTCATGTTGCATGATTCTGGAGCACTTTCCATAGTGAATGGCTAGGAAATGGAGCAGACTCTGGGCTCTTTCCTCATGAGCTCTTCGCTCTTGCCCATGTCTCCCAACCCCTTTGGCCTTCAGGCTGCCATGATATCTCTCGGCAGGACAGAGGCTTGGTGGTCATGCTGAGCTCTCTCCATTCCCTCGGGCCATTTCCTGCCAGACTCTCATTCCCCTTCCCGTGTGATTCTCTTTGACAGGAGCTGGTCGTGATGGGAGCTCCGGGTTCTTTTTACTGGGCGGGGACAGTCAAGGTCCTGAACCTCACAGACAACATGTCCTTCAAGCTGAATGATGAGGCCATCATGAACCGGCGATACACGTACCTGGGTGAGTGGTCTGGGGGTCGCTGGGGGTCCTGGGGCTGCTGGGAAAAGTGGGTCCAGAGCTTTCAAAGGACCATTCCACCACTTTGAGTCCAAGGCCTCTTTAAAACATGATGCTTCCACTAAGTCAACTTCTGGAAGGGTTGGCTTAATAATCCCATCTCCAGGATGGTCAAGGGCTGAATGGGGCTGTGAGAGTCAGAAAGCAGGCACGGAAGTCCACCGGGTGCTGCTGTCTTATCTCCTTGCTTAGCCGTCATCGTAGGCATGTGACCCTTTTTTTTAATTGACTAGAATTGTATTTGGAGGGGATCATGCATTCATTTGGCCCTCCATTTATTCATTAAGCACACACACTTCTGCAGAGCACTCTGCCAGACAAGTATGGGGAAGTACCAAGCTTAGGTGATGCCCGGTTACCGCCTTCATAGACCTTGCACAAATACAGAAAATGGGACTATTCTTAAGTGCGTTAGGGGGAGCCAAAACAAGGCCCCTATGAGGTCTGGAAAGGCTGTTGCTGACCGGGGGTCAGAGAAGGCTTTTCTCTAGGTTTTGAGATGCACTTTAAAGGGTGGATAGGAATTCAACAGACAGAGTTGGGCAGTGAGGACATTCTAGTCCAGAGGGTAGCAAAGGCAACTGAGTCATCAGAGCGCAGGACGTGTCTAAGAGACACAGAGTGGTCCAGTTTAGCTGGAGTGTAGCAAGTGTGGAGGGATGTGGTATGGACTCAGGCCGGACAAATAGGATACCGCCAGGCTGTAGAGGGCCTTGAATGCCAGGCAAAGGAGTATGAATTTTTTTTTTTGGGGCAGGCTGCTAGGGAGCTATTGAAGGTTGTTGAGTAGAGTAGTGTTGTGTCTAGATCTCTGCATAAGACAGATTATTTAGGGAGTGGTCTAAAGATTGACTTGGGAAGGGAAAAATGTAGCAGAGAAGGCTTTTGTGGGGCAGCTAGGTGGCGCAGTGGATAGAGCACCGGCCCTGAAGTCAGGAAGACCTGAGTTCAAATCCGACCTCAGATCAAACATTTGACACATACTAGCTGTGTGACTCTGGGCAAGTTACTTAACCCCAATTGCCTAAAAACAAACAAACAAAAAACCAAAAACCAAAAAGAAGGCTTTTGCGATAGTCCAGGCAGCCAGTGAGTGACCGTGTTTATTTGGGCACAGTGGGAAGAGAGAAAGCTGGGTGAGCAGGGGGTGCTGGGAGGGGCAGACTTCTCAGGGGGCCAGGGCTCCAGGCTGAGGTCATATGATATTTATGGTCAAATGCAGCAAATGTTCTCCGCTAAAAATAATGCGGTAGCATCCTCCCACTTTCCACCAGGCGTCTATTTGGGTTTCAAAGGGAACCCTTTAAGCCGGTTGGAAATAGCCACGTTAAGAGGTAAAAGCCATCCTGATGGACAGCAAGCTTGATGTTAAGCTGTAATTAGGGCTGCTTATCATGGACTTCCCTTATTTTCCCAAACCTTTTAATCTTCCTAAATGAAAAAGGAGCCAGCAGGTGCCACTCAAGGTGATGGTGGGCCAAGTGTCTGTGCATGCGGGGGACACACACACACACACACACACACACACACACACACACACACACACACACACACGTGCGCGCGCACGTGCTGCTGGAATTACAGGCTTCTGTTCTTTCATCATCTTTCAGCAGTGAATTAGAAAGCTCCATTTAGGACAAGTTCATCAGAGGGGGCCCCACCCTTAACAGGACTGTAGGTGGCTTTTAATGGGAGAGCACTTTTCTCTGTTTTGATCAGACATTTAAGAAATATTGTTTTCCTTTGAAAGACAGTGAAGGCCAATGCTTCCTGGCCGCTGGCCAGGCAGGGGTGCTTCCTCTGCCAGAGCAGAGAGCCTTTAGGTAGCATGGCAGTGCCCTGTCCTCATGTCTTACGTGGAACGCCTTGGATTTCTTCTTAGAAGAAGGTGGTCGATGATTGGTGCCTCCATTATTCTACATGCTATTTGCTTGGCCATTGGAGGAAACCCATCGCCAGTTTGATGCTAAGATTTGAGTCAGGGAAGGAGAAGCAGAAATCTCAGCTGTCACCTGGCACCGTCAGTCTTGGGCAGGTCTTTTCATCCTGCTCTTCCCTGCCTTTTATTCGAGGATGGTCCCAGCATCAGGGTCTGGCTGTTGTCTGAGGGTGGCTGGAGGCCTCATCACCAGCCGGCCAACCATTTGACAGTGAAGTTTTTGGCCAAGTGACTCACATTTTGTTAATTCAGATAAATTTAACAGCAGAGAGAGGTTTCCTAATGATCAGCTAAGCTCTTAACTATCATCCTTTGTTATTATTGATAACACATGTGTTCAAAAAGAGCTTTGAAAGAAATCTGCATTGAGATAAGAGTGGGAAAATATAAGCTCAAAGTTACAGTTGATTCTCTGACTACTCATACTCACTCTCTTCCAAATGTCCAAGTCAGTTCAATGAGCATTTATTAAATACCGACTGTATGCCAGACATTGAGCATCCAAAGACAAAAACAGAAACATTTGTTGCTCAGAGAAGTCACACTTTACTGGGAGGAAATAACATGTATGCAAATCACTGATATGCAAATGAAACAGCATGCATGCAAATCACTGGTATGCAAATGAAAAAAACATGCATGCAAATCACCAGTATGCAAATCATAATGGATGCCAATACCAGGCAGTCAGTCAATAAACATTTATGGAGGGAAGACTTTGTGCCAGACGCTGGTCAAGCAAATCGATTGTAGCAAGGACAGTTAGCCTTTCCACATCGTGACTTTCCCCACTGAGGTTTCGACACATTGAGATGAGGGTCGACATTAGAAATTAAATGGAATTTTTTGGGAGTTTTGTGGAATCTACAGATGATATGCAAAAGCAGCAGCTGACACAGAAAAAGTTTAGAAACTTAGAAATGCATAAGATATGTGTATAGTATTATATAATATCAACATATTTTATCTTTTAATACCATAATAATTCAGACTTCTTCTGAAGGGAGGGCCAAAACATTTTATGGGGATTTTCCAGACTGGCCCGTGTGCAAGGAAGGGACAACTGTATACCTAAAGTAAATATGAGGTAATTTCTGTCTGAGGAGGAAGTGCTGATAATTGTTGACGTCAGGAAAGGCCTCTTGTTGGAGGGAAGTTAGAGTTTCCAAGAGGCAGAGTTGAGGAGGTAGCCCATAAGCATTTATTAAGTACCTACTGTGCACCAGGGATTGTGCTAAATGCTGGGGATACAAAGAAAGGTAAAAGACATTCTTTACCCTCCAGAAGCTTACAGTCTAGAGAGTATTCCAGGCCTGGGGCACAGCGTGTATAAATGCGTAGAGGTGGAAGGTTGACTGGAGAATGACAAGGGGAGTCCGTTTACTTGGAGCACAGTATGTGTAAGGGGGTGTCGTAGGAAAGAAGTTGGGGGAGATGGACAGGATTCACCTTCAGATGGAATTAGGATTTGTTGAAAATTGGCTGAACGAGGCTAATTTTTGCAGGCCAGAAACGATATCCAACCTATCTGAAAATTGATAGAAAGGATGAAATGCTTAGGCCAGAGACGGGCATCTTCCCCCTCTTCTGCCCAGGCGCCACCTTGTTCTCAGGCACATCTCAGGGCCTGTCTTTCTTCCACACCTGGAGCTGTCCTTTAAAGACATGTTTTATTTCAACTCTCCCTGTCCACCACTCAGAAGTCTTCCCTCGTGCTGTGATGGATTCTCCGCCCCTGCCTGCTTCCATGAATTCATGGCATTTTAGCAGCTCAGTTACCTTGGTTTGCTGCTGGGGATTTAGGTTTGGAGAATGAGGGGGATGCTTTGGAAGCACTTGGACTGATTTTTCCTCCTTCCCCTTCCTTCTTGATTTTGTTTTATCTCAGGATATGCGGTAACTGCTGGTCATTTTGTACAGCCGTCCTCCACTGAAGTGGTAGGGGGAGCACCTCAGGATGAAGGCATCGGAAAGGTGGGGGCTCGTGGAGCAGTTAAGAGGGGTACAGCTGGGGGGTCTCCAATCTGGTCCTCTTCTTTCATACAGAGGTGGCCTCCATGGCCATGCCACTGGACCACAAGCCGTGGGTGGGTCTGCCATAGTTGAAATGGTTTCAAGCTGTTCAGACAGTGACTGACCTTATGACTCTTGTCCGAGGCTCCATCGAGTCCAGTCTGGGGGCTTGACCTAAGTACAGAGTTGGCTAGAATGCTGTGTTTCTGTGCTTGGAAACTGGCTGGGCTTCTGGATTGAAGGCCTTAGAGCTCTGTGGGACACGAGTGGTCTTCTAGTGCAACGTCTGCCATTTTACAGATGAGGAAGCTGAGGCCGTAGATCAGAGATCTAGGCCTGCAAGGGGCCTCAGGCAATTTAGTCCAACCACTTTAATTTTGTAGCTAAGGAAACTGGTGCCTAGTGGTTTGCCTAAGGTCACACGGGTAGTAAGCAGCAGCAGCAGGATTTGAACCCGGGTCCCCTGACCTAAATCTAATGCTCTGTCCACTGCAGCATACTGCCTGACGTTTTGGGTCTGCACACAAACCTGGGAGATGGGTGGGGCAGAGCATGAGATTTAGCCCCAGCTACCTCTGAGAATGAACCTTGCTAGCGTTTTCATCAGGCTCAGTAGCCCTGACGCTCCGAGGCCTCTCCAGAGTGCTAAGGCCAGTGTGAGGGGGTGTGTGTATGCTGTCCAGTGCCTTTCCTGGGATCTGTGTGGATCGTGGCCTGAGGAAATCAAAGAACAGCGTTCAGGGCTATCTAACCTTGGCTGCAGTGCTCAGGGTGCCTTCCACGTGGGGCCCTGGAGCTGTCTAGGAATTCAGTTTGACAAGCATTTATTAAGCACCTACTCAATGCCAGGCTTTGTGCTGGGCGTATGACAAAAATGAGACTGGCCCTGCCTTCCAAGAGCTTACATTCTATAGGGGGAAGGGGCCAGGGATGACAGGGATGCAGATAATTACGTACAAAATCTTTTGGGATGTTTTCCTGAGTTGTGGCAATGCATTCATAGTGAGAGAGCCCAGTTAACTCATGGGAATATTCATTCATTCATTCTGGAGCTCTGGGTGGCTCACTCTCTTGTCATGATCCAAGCTGAACTGACTTCCACGTGTTCCTTTATTTCTGTCGCAGGTTTACATTTTCAGAGCTGACCGAAGATCAGGCTCCTTAATTAAGATCTTCCAGGCATCTGGCAAAAAGGTAAGCGGGGGATGAGGAAATGCTTGGTGACTGCTGATGGATTTGAGAGGTGACTTGGGCCAGGTGGGATCATAGGTTAGAAATTTAGACATGGAAGGACCTTTAGGTCCTTGAGTCCCGTCCTCTCATTTTACAGATGAGGAAACTGAGGCAAACATAGGTTAAATGACTTGCCCAGGACCACACAGCTGGTCAGTACCCAAAGAAGGATTTGAACTCAGGCCTTTTTGACTCAGAGTATAGTGCTTACTCCACCATACTACGTTACCTCTCTTAGGATGCTGACATTTAAAAAAAAGTTAAAATTTTAAGAATAATTTTAATAATTTTAAAGGTTAGAAATAATTTTAATTTTCATTAATAATTTTAAAGAAAACTTGTGGTATGTTGGAAAGAGCCTTGGCTTCAGTCGAAGGACCTTGGTTCAAATCCTGCCTTAATTGCATATCACGTATTGATCTTGGACCAATCAGTTAGCCTCCCTGGGCCTGAGTTTCCTCGACTGTAAAATGGAGGGATGGAAGGCCTCTGAATTCCCTTCCAGGTCTGTGAGCTTATACAATAATATTTCCTGCTCACACAAGACCTTTTACGAGTTGGAGGAACTCGTGTGACCCATGGATTCCTGAGGGCCTTCGTGGCCATTTTATAAAGCATGAGGTTATTCTAGTGCCTTCCCTCTGTGCCCTCTTAGCACAGTGCTGGGGACACAGTAGGAGCTTAATAAATGTTGGTTGATTGACTGTCTGTTACCTGCAGGTGATCCTGCTCTGTCTTGTCTGCACATAGTTATTGGCAGGTTTTCTCCCCCATTCGACTGTGAGCTCTTGGAGGGCAGGTCTTGCCTTACCTTTCTGTGTATCGCCATGCTTCTACAGTGTGTGGCACACAGTAGGTGCTTACTACACGCTTGTTGTCTGAATCGAGTGTTGAAGTCCTACATAAGTCAAGAGCACTAGAGAAAAGCTAGAGAGACTAGATGGGGCCAAAGCCAACTCGACAGAGAGTGCACACAAATGCCCTTGGAGGCGGGAGCAGCTTTCATCGTTTGGCTCCTGTCTGTGTTTGCAGTAGAAGGACGGTGGCATGTTCCGTGGTGGCCTGAGTGTGTATTTCTGCCCATGCCCGGGTCTCTGGGGTAACACTTGGTGGGTTGGGGCATCAGAAATGCACTTAAACCCCTCTCTTTAAGCCACACTTGGGTCAGAAAGCCAAAGGAGGCTGTGGCGGAATGAGGAGGAGGCTTCTGGTTGAAATGTTTGCAATTTTCCGAGTGTTCCTCTTTTCCTTGGGCCAGGAACCCAGCCAGCACCACTTGGCCAGCCTTCCAGCCTTTTCTCCCTCCCTCTTCCTCCCACCTGCTCCCATCTTCTTGTCTGGAGATTATTCATGGGGAATCTGAAGGGGAAGTGAGGGAAGGCCCTGGGAGCAGGTGGGAACTTGGTTGGGCTTTTCTGCTAAGGTCACCCTGAGTGTTCTTGAAGTGTTCATGGAGAGCTTCTCCCCTTGGGAGTTCTCATGGGCTAGGTTTCAGGTCAGATGTGCAGACAAGAAGAAGAGGTGATGGGCAGCTCTTTGATGTGCCATTGGCCGGGCCAAGCAAATAGATCGAAGGCCGCTTAGCTTTTCTGCCCCTTTTTCATTGGAGCTGTTGGCCCATTTATTTTTGCCTACGTGGGGTTTTGGACTGGTATTTCTTCCCTCTCCCATCTATCCCACACCCACCTTCTCATCACGTTTAGCCTGGAGAAAACTCCTGAGGGCCGTGGTAGCTGTCGTGGAATCCTGGAGAGGCTGACTGGAGAAGGGATTTGCCCTATTCTGCTTGGCCTCCAAGGGAGGGCAGAACCAGGATTTCTGGAGGGAAGTGGGGAGAGGTGCAGACTTTCTGAAAAATTTCCTAACAGTTAGGGCCGCCTGGAGAGGGGGTTAGTTCCCTGTCGTGTCACAGGAGTCTTCAGTCAGGGTTGGATGGGTACCTGTTGGGGGGATTCTCGTGTAGGCACAAGTAAGACTGGAAGGTGCCTGAGGTCCCTGCTTCCCTCCTTCTACTTGTTGACGTTCCTGACCTGCCTTTGATCTTGGGTTATTCTCCATCGCTGGATATCTGCTGTTGAAGACAGCTTTATTCCTCCCCTCTCCCACATCGATTTTTCTTTTGTCCCTAACTAATCTGCATTCCTCACGCAAGATCCTGGGATCACAGATTTAGAGCCAGAATAGATCTCCGAGGTCATCTGATCTAACCCTTCTGACCAATTTGTAGATAAGGAAACCGAGTCTTGGAGTGCCCCAAGCTACCCAGGGAGGGATCTTTGCACTGGACTGCACCGTGTCTCACTGGAGGTGGGGGTCAGAGTGTGGGTATGCCCTGACTAGCAAAGTGGATGTTGTGAAATGCCTTTTATCAAATTAACCAAGTATTCTAAGCATTTGCACATCAGAACTTAGCTAGGAAACTTCCGTATTAGAATTTCTGATTAGGCACTTAGGAAGATGCCAAGTTAAATGGTCTCTTGGAATCAAAGAAGTGGACGTCCCCTTGGGGACGAGCCAGAGAATACGGTTGTTTCATTCTCCTGTTAGGGTTCTCTTTACATCATTTCTAATTTTCTAGATATCACACCATGTCACGTAGCATCACTATGTGTGGACTCAGCTCTCAGTGGCCCAGGAGCTCCTTTGGGGCAGAAATTGTCCCTTTGATAATTAGCTTTTATATAGTGCTTTAAAGTTTGTAAAGCTATTAGGACCTCCATTTTACAGATGAGGAAACTGAGGCTTAGAGGGGGTAAGTGATTGTCCAGGGTCAGAAAGCAGGTCTGGTCGGGAGGCAGGATTTGAACTTGGGTCTTCTTGACTCCATGTCTAGCCCTCCATCTACTGCACCGCCCCCAGATTCATTCACACTTTGCTTTTTGCCTGAGACCCTGTGTTCATAGTACTTGCATAACAAATGCTCGTTGTCTTGCCCTCTGCGGGCTTACTTTGGTCACCCAGGGCTGGCTCACCAGGGTGGTGCTGCCTCTTCAGAGACCTCCAAAAGGGGGCTGGAGAAGATGGTTGGGGGCAGGTGCCCAATGACTCCTCAGCCATTCCCTCAGTTTCTCATTTCCGCACCTCTCCTGAGCCCTCACTCTGAGTGAGGTGGGAGAGGAGGGGGGCAGCCTCAGTGTCAGATAGGGGAAGGCAATCTGGGCTGCTTGGTACCCAAGCCTTCCTGGGCTTGGATTCAGCTGATGGCCATGGGCTGGAGTTGGCCTCTTGTAACTGTCTTGGCATTTAAATGAACTTAGCCACCAATGCCCAGAGAGCCTTTGAAATGCATCCCAGTCACCAGGCCCCATTAGATGAATCACATCCTCGGGCAGTGAAAGTCAAATTGTCAGCAAGCATTTATTAAGCACCTACTGTGTGCCAAGTGCTGTGCTAAGAAAGGGAACATGTACAGAGAAAGGGAAAGCATGCTTTCTGTGGGGGAGGTAGAGGGGAGAGGGGGCCAGGGAAGCCAGGAGGCCAAGAGGCAGAGGTAGTGCATCCCAGGTACAGAGGAGAGTCAGGGAAAAGTCTTGCACTGCCTTGCAAGAGGAGCAGTAAGGAACCCAGTGTCACTGGATCACAGAGTAAACGGGGTGAGTAAGGTGTGTGAAGATTGAAAAGCTGGATGGAGGGTCAGGTAATGAGGGCTTTAAAAGCCAAACGGGATTTTGTATTTGATCCTGGAGGCAATAGGAAGCCACTAGAGTTTCTTGAGTAGGGGAGTGACATGGTCAGATCTGCACTATAGGAAAATCACTTTAGCGGCTGAACAGAGGATGGAGTGGAGTGGGGAGAAATGAGGCAGGTAGACATACCACCCCCCCAAAAGCTATTGCAGTTGTCAAAGTGTGAGGTGATGGGGGCCTGTACCAGAGTGGTGGTAGGATCATATGTGCATGTTGAGCTGCTGTTGCTGTTTTTGGAAAGATTGTGGAGAAAGAAGGAGTCTCCAGGACCAGATATGGGCAAGTGTTCAGATTTTCAAAAGTATGCATCAGCCTTTGACTCTTCCAGCTCTACCCTGAAGCATGTCAATAAAGGGATGGTATGTCAGCATTTGGAAAGGGAAGCAGTGATCATTGACAGACTGGCCAAATTTAAGAAGAAGAAATTGAACAGGGACGAATGGAGGACATTTAGGGGTAGGGACCAGACCTGTGATTTCATTCATGCAGGAGGAAGCTTCCTTTACCAGCATAGGTTGGCAATTCCCTGTAACTTCTAGGGTTAGAGGGTTTCCTAGAGCTAGGGTCACACAGCCAGTATTCATCAGAGGCTGGTCTTCCTGACTCCAAGACTGGCTCTCTATCAAAGTCAATAAATCAATAATCATTTACTAAGTGCTTACTATGTGACAAGCATTGTACTGGGGATAGAACTGCAGCAAATAGAAAGACAGTTTCTGCCCCTCAAGGAAGGTAGAAAACAGCACATAAAAAGGAGATGAAAAATGGAATAGAGGGCAGTTCATTTCAGAGAATCAACTGTACAATTATAAAATGGGAGAGACGTAGTTAGATATGAGTATATTTGGGAGTGTTAGTGGACTCCACGCTCAGTATGAGTTGGAAGCGTGATGTTGCAGCCTATAGTGCTAATGCAAGCTTAGGCTTTATATCCCTGGAAGCATTTGTCCAGAAAGAGGGAGGTGACAGTCTTGCTCAGATCACATTCAAAGTATTTGCTCTGTTGTGGACACCACATTTTAGGAACAAAATTGGCAAAATTGAGGTCAGAATAGGCCCGGAAGAAGATTACTAGAGTAGTTAGAGGCCAGGGCACCATGCCTTATGAGGGCTGGTTGCAGGAACTAGGGATGCATAGCTTGAGAAAACTCAAGGGTGACCTGGTTGCTCTCTTTGAGTATTTGAAATATTTTCATGTGGAGAGAGAGATTTGACTTGTTTTTCTTGACCTTAGAATAATGGATAGAAGTTGGAGGGAGGCAGATTTCATCTTGAGATAAGGAAAAGCTTCCTAAGATGAGGGGATTGGACTAGATCGATTTCTGGGGTCTCTGCTGGCTCTAGGTTTATAATCTTATAATTATGCGATACTAAGAGGTAAAGCTGTTCCAGAATGTGATGGGATGGACACCTTGAGTAGCAGGGAGCTCATCACTGGAAATATCAAAGTGGAAGCCTGTTGAGTGTATGTCGGCTATCTTGTCGAGGGATTCTTCTTTGAGTGCAAGAGTCAGCTGGCATATTAGAAAGAGTACTGGCTCTGGGGCTGGCAGCCCTGGGTTCAAATACCACTTTTGATGTTCACTATCTGCATCTCAGTTTCCTCATCTGTAAAATGAGGGAGGTTAGATTTAGTAACCTTATGAGGTCCCTTCTGGCTTTGAGAGCCTGTGATTCTGTCAAACAGACTAAAAATATGAAGGGAGGTGTTTATGTTTATCAACTAAAAATAAAAAGGATTTGAATTTTATGTGTCCTGGGAATAATTTATTTCTGTTTTAATATAATGAATGTTGGTTTATATTCCAAGTGGGAAAAAACCTGAATTCTTGGCCTGGCCTGTGCCCTCCTTGGAGAACAGTCTCGTGGGCTGCAGCCTTTTTTCTCCCATGAGCTCACACATTTTCAGCCTGTTTTTATAAGCTTAAATGATGGAGGGAGTGAGTTCAGTTGCTTCCTAGTATAGCATGTCTCTCCCGGGCCAGCTCCGTCTTGTGAGTGTTCATTATCCCAGTTGCCTTGGCCCTGACAAATTTATAGTCTTGATTTTTTGACAAATGAGGCACATTTATTATGGTTATTGACTGCACTTGCAACCTTAGCAAGCATTTTTAGAAGTCTATTCCCTGGAGGAACTCTGACCAAAAAAATCCTTCCTGTGCTATGGTATGCCTCCAGTGAAGGCCCTTGGAGATATTTAGTTCTGGTCTCAGGTTCATTAAGTTTCTAAAAATTGCTCTTGAGTCTTTCCTGTGTGAGAGGGTGCAGCAAAGGCACTCTTTCCACGGCTGGTTGTAGAGCTGAGTCAAGTCAGAAGCATTTGTTAAGTACCTGCTGTGTGCCAGGCACTGTCCTAAGCACTGGAAGTCAGAGAGCCTGGGTTTAACTCCTGCCTCTGCTGTTATTAGCTATGTAATGTTGGGCAAGTCCATTGACCTGGCTGGGCCTCAGTTTCTCCATCAGTAAGCAAAGGGGTGGACCAGATGGTTTCTGTTATCCATTGTAGTTTTACTCTATGTTCCCATGATCCTGCATTTATTAGTTGTGTGGCCTTGGTCAAGTCATTGAACCCCTTTGGGCCTCAGCGTACTCATCTGTAAAATAGGAATGATTGATTTAGTACTTTAAAGCGATACCTGATATCACATGTCTTATCAGGTCGACTCTAAGATACTTTGTCCATTTTATAGGGTTTTTTAAATGGGATTTTTTTTTCTGTCTCTTCCTCCTGGGTTTTGTTAGTATATTCTGCCATTTGAACCTCATAACTACTCTGTTATTGGTATTATTTTTCCCATTTTGTAGATGGGGAAACTGAGGCTTAGAAAGTTCAAGTGACTTGCCTATGGCCTCCTGGCAAATAAGTATCCAAGGTGGAATCTGAACCCAGCTCTTCCTGTCACCGCCATGCTGCTGTGAGGGTGTGGGACTAGATGTTATCCGAGATCTCTTCTTACTCTACAGATGTGACCCTATGATACTAGTTTTGTGACCTTGGACAAGTTGAGTTTCCTCTCTGGGCCTCAGTTTCCTTACCTGTAAAATGGAGGGATGGACTTGATGATTTTCTGGTCCCCTTACACTTCTAGGTGCGAGTCCTTGACTCAAGGGGAGCCCAGCCTTGCAGTTGTGGGTGTGCGAGTCCTTGACTCAAGGGGAGCCCGGCCTCGCAGTTGTAGGTGTGCGAGTCCTTGACTCAAGGGGAGCCCGGCTTCGCAGTTGTAGGTGTGCGAGTCCTTGACTCAAGGGGAGCCCGGCCTCGCCTTCCCTGAGCAGTCAGTCAGGGGAAGCGTGGCCCGTTTCTCCCCTGCAGAGCCCAGCTTCTTAATGGTTTTTGTGTCCTGGCCCTTCTGGGCAGTCAGTCTGGTGAAGTGTACAGATCCCTTCTCAGAGTCATGCTCTTAAATGCGTAAGATGAAATAGACACTATTACAAAGGAGTCGGTAATATTGCTCAGCCGTCACAAGATATCATTAACCCCCAGGTGTGCGGACCCTCGGTGAGGAGCCCTTATCTGGACTGCACTCGTGCAGCCCTGGTCCTGCCCCCCTGTCCCTGTCCTCTAGGGGTCTCAAGGGTGTGAAGCCAAAGCAGCGCGGCAGCGTTCCCTGCGTGCGGCACCTACTGAATGCTCTGTTGTGCCTCGCCTTGGTTGCAGATGGGCTCTTACTTTGGCTCCTCCTTATGTGCAGTTGACCTGAACGCGGACGGCCTCTCGGACCTGCTGGTCGGCGCGCCCATGTTTTCTGAGATCAGGGATGAGGGTCAAGTCACCGTCTACATCAACAGAGGAAGTGTGAGTCTGGGGCCTGGCGGAGCGGGGAGGCAGGATGGAGATGAGTGATGGATGACCTGTAAGAATAGTAATAATGACTGACCTGGGGCCAGCGGGGGCACGCCCGACCTGCAGGGCCGCTCCTCTGGATTCATCATCCACATGTTGTGTGGGTCCTGAGATAGCTACAAGTGTTCCCCGTGAGACTCCAGTTCGATTCAATAAATGTTTTTTTTCCCCTTTTTTTAGTTAATTTATTTTGATTTATCAACAATCACTTCCACATGCTTTTGAGTTGAAAATTTTTCTCCCCCTTCCTCCCCCCCACCCTCCCCAAGACAGTGCACAATCTGATATAGGCGTTACATTTACATACCCATGAAACATATTTTCACATTAGTGAAGTTGTAAGTAAAAATTAAAACCAGTAGGAGGAAGCATCAGAAAGATGAAACAAAACTCAACAGAAGGTAAAAATAAGTGATAGCGACTTGACTTCCATAGTTCTTTCTTTGGATGTGGACAGCATTATCCATCCCGAGGCCTCTGGAGATGTCTTAGATCCTTGTCATGCTGAGAAGGGTTCAGTTTAACAATCTTAGTCATTGCATAACGCGGCTGTTATTGTGTACAGAGTCCTCTTGTTTCTGCTCACTTCTCTCAGCATCAGACCATACAAGTCTTCCCAGGTTTTTCTGAAGTCAGCCTGTTCATCATTTCTTACAGCACAATAGTATTCCATTCCATTCAGATACCACGACTTGCTCAGCCGTTCCCCAGTTGATGGGCATCCTCTCAATTTCCAATTCTTGGTCACCACAAAAAGAGCTGCTATGAATGTTTTTGTACATGTGGGTCCTTTGCCCATTTGTTTGTCGATTCAATAAATGTTAACTAAGCACCTATTATGTTCCAGACACTGGACTGTGCTATGAGTCAGTCAATAAATATTTATCAGGTGCCTACTATATGCCAGGCACTGTGCTAGGTGCCGTGATATTCCCAAAGTGCAGCTCTGATGATATTATTTCTTATATTAGGAAGGTTTCATGGCTTCATTTTGTCTATTAGGATCAAATACAGACTTCTCTGTCAGCCCTTCACAGCCTGGCCCCAGTCTGCCTTTCAGCCTTATTATGCATGACTTCCCTTCTGCACTCTTTGGGCCAACCAAGTTGGTCTTCTTGTGAGTCCTGCCTCTGGGCCTTTGCATAGACTGCTCAGCTGCCTAGGATGCCATTTCTCCTTACACCCATCTCCTAGAATTCCTCAGGCGCTTCACATCTCTCCCCTCCCCTCCCCTCCTTTCCTGTCCTCTTCTCTGCTCTCTTCCCCTCTCCTCTGCTCTCCTTTCCCCTCCCCTCCTCTCCCCTCCTTTTCCTTCCCCTCCTTTTCCTTCCCCTCCCCTCCCCTCCTCTGTGCCAGGCACCGTACTTACCCCACATAGGTCATTTAACCTCTCAATCGAGTCCTTAGGATTTTTCTCTTCAGTCATAAATGGGTTCTAATCTGCATTGGAGCAGGAATGCCTAAAGCCAGAGGTCCGTCCCCAGATGAGATCTCAGCCCCCTAGTCTCTCTCCCTGTGAGTCCCTGGCTGACAGACAGCACAGGTAAAGGGGTCCTCTTGGTGAGGCAGCAGCTGCCTTGGGGCTGTCCAGGTGCTTCCTGTGGCCGACATGCTTGAGCGGGGACGCTCACTGGGTAACTGACCAGGCTATTTTTCTTAGCCTGTCCCGTTTCCTGTCTTCTAGGGGGCCCTGGAGGAGGAGCTGGTCCTGGATGGTGACCGTGTCTACAATGCCCACTTTGGGGAGAGCATCGCTGTGCTGGGGGACTTGGATGACGACGGGTTCCCAGGTCAGAGGGGGATGCACTTCAAGGGCAGAAAACCTCCTATTTAGAACAGCAACGGGATCTGAATTCAGCCCTCCCGCCTCAGGGCATGAGGTCTGAATCCACCTCTGAGAGGCTGGAGGCTAGAGCTGAACTGGAAGAGAGTGGAGTTTTGTTAGTCACTTTTTTCCTTCCTTTTCACTCCCTGCTCTTTATGTTCTGAAGTTGGTGATTTCTACATCTTGTTTCATGTCTCCATTCTCAGTCCCTGACATCTGGCTGTCCCAGCTGGGCCTCTTATCCCAGGGAATGTTGACCAGGAGGCCCGGCTTCTCATACCCCTCGTCCTCCACGCCTGGCTTCACTTCTCTGATTGTATGTGTGTTATTCCCACGCTAGTTTGAGCGAGCACCATTCCTCACTTCAGTGTGTTGGCTGGACCACGAAAGCAGGTGCTGTGCATACGTCTGTACATGCATACGCGTGTGCCCGCTCTCATCACCGGCAGTCAGTCGATAAGTGCACCCACTGTGTGCCAGGCACCGTCCTGAGCACTCTTTGGGGAGACAGCAGGCAAACAACTCTGTGCAGACAAGTGTGATGGTGGTGTAGACATCTATTAAGACTGTACTGTGTGCCAGGCTCGTCCTACGTGGTGGGTGTATGAAGAAAGGCTAAAGACAGCTCCTTCTGTCAAGCAGTTCATGGTCTATCAGGGAAGACAGTATGCCAACAACTTTGTACAAGCAAACGCTGTGGTCATTTGTTAAGTGTGTGACGTGCTGGCTGTGCTAAGCGCTGGGGATAGAGAGAGGCAGAAGGCAAGCCCTGCTCTTGGAGAGCTCGTGATCCAGTGTGTGGGCACAGGGTACTCGATATGGGTACATCACAGGCCTTGGGTTCAAATCTCACCTCAGTGAGTGGCCCTCGAGGCTCCTTCTGTCTCTGTGTCTCCCATCCTCCGATCTCTGAACTCTGGAGCCCAGTATGAAGGCCTCAGTAACGAGGAGGAGAGAACATAGCCGGTGATTCATGTGGCCTACGACGGGGCATTCTCGCTCAGATCAGTAGCTCTGCCGGCCCTGGTGGCTTTCACAAAGTTACAGCATTTTAGCTTCTATTGAATTGAAAGGCAGGAAGAACACTGGAATCAGAGTCAGGGGCTGTGGGTTCAGATTTCCTCTCTGCCACTTCAGACCTCTTTGACCTTGAGCAAGTCACTTAATAATAATGATAATCATGATAATAGTAATAGCTAACACGTATATAGTGCCTACTACTATATATGCACCAGGCAGTGTCCCAAGTGCTTTACAATCATTACTTCATTTGGTCCTCACACAACTCTGGGAGGGAGGGGCAGTTATTCATCTAAATGTCTCAGAGCCTCCGTTTCCTCCTCTGTAAAGTGAGGGCTGTGCTGGACAGCCAGCCTGTAAAGTCCCTTCTGTGTTTAAACCTATGATCTCAGGCTGCCTGGGAAGGTCCCTGTTAGGCCGTGATTCTCTGGGTGACCTTCCTTTTCTCAGCCTCAGTTTCCCCATCTGTAAAGTGAGGGCTGTACTGGACAGCCAGCCTGTAAAGTCCCTTCTGTGTTTAAATCGATGATCTCAGGCTCCCTGGGAAGGTCCCTGTTAGGCCATGATTCTCTGGGTGACCTTCCTTTTCTCGGCCTCAGTTTCCTCCTCTGTAACTTGCCTTTGAGGGCCCTTCTGTCTCTGTGATGGTATGACCCTGTGATGATTACTAGTGTGTTCTGGCGTGTGAGAACTTCAATGTTTGAGATTCTGTTGGTCTTTTTCATCTCTCACAAACCCACATTTCTTATGAGAAGTTTGGGGGTGGAGGGGTGAAGCAGGGATTAATTCACTAACCATCAAATAATAGGAAGGAGCTCTTTTTTTTCTTCTTAAACCAAGTCGTGTTTGTTGCCCGGGGTTTTTCCTTTTGTGGCTGGCTTCTATGGCTCCCCGGGGAAGCTGCATCTTTTTCCTTGTTCCCTTTAAACAGTTAGCACTGGTGGCCGTGATTTCTATTCACACTTTGGTGTTGAGCAGCCACTCTCTTTCCTGTCTTGGAAGAAGTAGAAGGTGGAGGGTCTTTAAACCCCTCACCCCTTTGCTCTCTTCCCAGCTTCAGTTGGGCTCTTTGAAGCTCATTAAAAATTTCTTCAAATCTGGCCTCAGACACTCACTAGCTGTGTGACCCTGGGCAAGTCACTTCACCCTGTTTGCCTCAGTTTTCTTCATCTGTAAAACAAGCTGGAAAAGGAAATGGCAAACCACTCCCATATCTCTGCCGAGAAAGCCCCAAAGGGGTCATGAAGAGTTGGACATGACTGAAAAAACTCAATAATGAAAATTCCTCGTGGGGCAGCTAGGTGGCACAGTGGATGGAGCACCGGCCCTCAAGTCAGGAGGACCTGAGTTCAAATCCAGCCTCAGACCAAACACTTGACACTTACTAGCTGTGTGACCCTGGGCAAGTCACTTAACCCCAATTGCCTAAAAAAAGAAAGAAAAATTCCTCCATACCCACAAAAAGCTCATGTTTAATTTGTCAGGTGGGCTGATTGTGTTTCCAAGAACCAAGCCCTGCTGGTGTAGAGGGACTGAGTGATAATAAGCATTCACCCTTTGGAGTGTTCTCACTTTTCCGTCCCTGATGCTTCTTCTTTCCTCAGATGTTGCCATCGGGGCACCTAAAGAAGATGACTTTGTGGGAGCTGTGTACATCTACCACGGAGATGCCGACGGGATCGTGGCCAAGTATTCCATGGTAATTTGTGGTGGGGCCTGTGGGGTGCCCTTTAAAGGTAAAGCTGCAGTAGAACTTTTGGGATACCCTGTATTTAACCACAGCAGAGTGCCCGAGAGGCAGTGTGGCATGTTGGAGGTGGCCAGGCCTGGGTTCTAATCCCACCTCTGATACTTACCCTGGCGAAGGCTCTTGTTTCTGAGCCTCAGAGACCTCCCTGGGACCCACCCACTAAGTTGCGCATAGGGTGTGATCTTCAGGGCATGATGAAATCACGAGTCCTTCTGGTATACACACGCCAGTGTCCAGGCACTGTCTAGGCTGGCCCTGCTCCATTCTTCAGTGTGCAGACTTGGGGGTGACAGTGCCCGTGTTGGCCTCGCGGGGCTTGGTGCTCTCTGAGAGACTAAGCAGGAAGCAAGCTTTTCTGGTGTCCAGTATCTGGTCAGATGTATTCAGGCATTAACTGGGGCGGGCCAAGAACCGTGAAAGGGCCTGGGTCTGAAGCTTCCTTTGTCTTCGGTGGCCTTTGGAGGACCTGCTTGCTTGGTGCCACCAGGTCATTTAGGGCGTGGAAGCTGCCCATCCCATGGCACCACCGTGGCAACTTGAGTTCAGTCTCGCTTCTGGGATGGGGCACAGCACGGAAGCAATACTGCTCCCAGGCAGCTTCCTTTAAGCTGGGATGGAGTGTTCACCCGGCCCTGGGAAGAGCTTTTGGAAGGCTTGGATGTCTGTGTGGAATGAGCGAATGGAAGAGCACTTATGAAGTGCTTGCTGTGTGTGGGATACTGTGAGAATTACTGGAGATACAAAGACCAAAGAGCCTTTGTTCCTGCCCTCCAGAAGCTTACACTCTACAAGGCAGTGGAGGTCAGGTAGGGGAGCTCGGGCCTGGGAAGTCATGGGGGGAAAATGAGCCCCAAGGACAGTCGACTCATCTTTTCTAGGAAGGGTCGTGTTGATTCTCTGTGCTGGAGTAGAAAAGCAGGGGGCGGGAGGAGGAGGGCGCAGATGGCGGCCAGATCTGAGGAGGGCTGGAGAGCAGCAGCGCGGTGGGTCTGGGCAGAGAATGAGCTCCCCTATTGCCCTTCTCCAAATGTGGGAGACTCCCAGAAATCACATGCAGTGCTGGTAGTAGGGGTGGAGCCGGACAGTTAGCAGAGTCAGCGCTTATCAGTCAGCTTGTGTCTTTGAGTACGTTCTAAATACTGTGTGTGAACTACACTGGAGACCCCCGGACACAGAAAACTTACCCAGGAGGAGCTTGTCCTGATTTGGGGAGACAGCACCTGTCCATAGAGGAAGGGAACGCGGCTCAGAGGCTTCCGCTGTTGGGTGGCACAAACCCTTAAGGATGGAGAGTAGATGATAACTGCTTCTTGACCAGTGTGGACAGCGAGGCTTCTGTTCACAGCCCCCTTTCTAAAAGCAGCGGCGTATGAGGAGCCTTTGTTTTTTTTTTAGTGTCTTTAAGAAACAAAAGTGTTGACTAAGTTTTGGGCCCTGCTGGAAAAGGCAGGACTGGTGAAATGCCTCAGGATTTAGAAACATGGAAATGCTGTCAGTGAACAATATGTCCTGAGTGGGGCGAAAATGATTTTTATCATGAAGTTGGTAATCCTCTTTACAAATAAACAAATAGCAAACGGAATGTGCTTCCCCAAATAAGATCCCAAATCAAAATTATGTGCATTTGCCTAAATGCATGCATACATATACACTATACTATGTAAACACATACACTTACACACCCACACCCTCTAGACACACCCTCATAGACATGCGTGCGCGCGCACACACACACACACACACACACACACACACACAGTATCCCAGAAACTTAAGCTTAAATATTATAAATCCGTGTTTTGTATATGTACATACATGCACTCATGTGAATGTAGACATATGTTTGTATGTGTATGTATATATACTTTATAAACTTTATATGTGTATGCATATTCATGTAGGTATGTAAATTTTAACCAGATATTCACAATGACAGTTTCTCTGCTCTCGTCCCTTTCTGTTCTCTTTTCTGTTCACGTACCTAGAGTATTGTGTCACTCTTAGCGAATGTGGTCCTGGTGGTGAGGGTGGCCAGAGCCGGTGTGTGTGAATAACTCTTCTTGCTTTGCTGACCTTGCTTAATTTCCCCCACTTTTCTCAAGACCAGTTTTCTAATATCTCGATGTCCCGTTCAGCCATTTCTCAGTCGTTGAACACGCAGAATGAATACTCGATGGATCCGTGACCTCCTCAAGGTGGATGTTCCTTCCAGAGCTGCGGGTCCCATGCCTGTCTGTCCTGTGTGACGCTTATTAATCAGTTTGTTGGTGAGCCTTTATTAAGGGCCTGCTTTGTGTTGGTGCTGGGCCGTGGCCGGTCCTCTTGACTCCTGTCTTACCACTGGATTGGAGCAAAGTGAGGCTGATAACTTTGCGCAGCTCCGCCTCACTTAAATCCGATTTACTCACAAGTGATGTCAGCGGTCCTCTCTGAGAACAAAGGATGAACAACAGTAACATATGTTGGGCCCTGGAAATAAAAAGGAAGAAATGAAACAGTTCCTGCCCTCAGGGAGATTACGTTCTCAGAGGGGAGACAGCATGCAGTGTAATGGGGTTTGGGAAGACAACTTGATTTGCAGGAGCATTACACAGTCTGGGGTCACCCAACCAGTGCATTCTGGGGACACTGCTGGTGTGCTGAAGAAGAGTCCACGTCCTCCTACCTTTTGAAGTTTATAGGGTCAACCCCAGGTTGAGGGAATCAAGAGAAGCCGGAGGCTCTTTTCTCAAAAGATTCCCTCCCAGGGGTTCGGCTGGACTGCTGTCTCCTCGAGGCTAGCCCGACCCTTGAATGCGTGGGTCCTGAACTGGTCCCACTGTTCTATACAAAAACCTGTATGGCGTGACTGGGCCTCTTCTGCTATTCCCAGTGCACTCCCCATGTAGCTGTTGTCTCATTTCATTCAGTGGTCTTTACTCTTTCCAAACTGATTAAAGTCCTTTTGCACCTCGGTGACGCCTTCTGATTGATTCCACAGAAATCTGATAAAGGCATCAACATCTTGTCTAGTTTAAGTGGGGCAGAGTGACTGATTCAATTAGCTCTCATGCTGACATCTAGAGCCCTCTTCCTTTTCTTCTCAGAAGTTAAAATAGTTTCATTAGGAAAGATCTATCATTTTTCCTCCTCTGTTTTTTCTACTTTTTTTTGCCATGACCAGACAAGTGTTTTTGGCTTATCTCAAATCCTAATATCCAACAGTTCCTCTCCAGATTTACTCTATAAAATTCTTCCTATTTTCTTTTTCATAAAGTAACACTGTGATTTCTGACTTCTTCCAAGAAAGAAAAATTTCCTTATCCTTACTCTCTGTCTTCTCTATAGTTTTTCTGAAAGCATCTCCATTAATTCTCTCTTCCATTTCTCAAAAAAACAGTCAACCAGAGCTTCCAAATCTCACACATTCCATTTGGTTCTTAAAGCAATGGTAGGAGTGAGTATCTAGTCTCCATAGGGGAGAGGCTTTTGAAACAGATGCTATATTCAGAATATATTCTAAATAAATGTAAAGCATTTTGGGGGAAGGCACTAGCAGCTGGGAACATTAGAAAAGATTTCATGGAGAAGATAGCATTTGAGCTGAGCTGAACCTTGTATTTGCCTCTGTTTCCTCAACTGTAAAATGAGAATGATAATAATAGCCCTTATCTTGAAGGATTGTTGGGAAGATCAAGTGAGATAATATTTGTAACTTAGCACAGTGCCTAGCACATCGTAGGCACTGTATAAAACGCTTCTTTTCCTTCCCCCTATATTTTGTATTTGAGAGACATAATGGATAGAGAACCCCAAAGCCAGGAAGACCTGGGTTCAGATCCAGCCTCTGACATGTACCAAGTATGTGACCATAGTTAAGTCACTGAACTTCTCATTTCTTGAGACAACTCCAAGACTGTGAGTTGCAGAGAACAGCTACCATTAATATAGCATCTACTGTGTGCCAGGCACTGTGCTAAGCACTTGACGGTTATTCTCTCACAAAGAGAAGGGGTTTTAAGAGGTGGAAATCCATTTATAACTCTGCAACGGGGACTCCCTCCTACATACTGGGGGCCGTCCACGCTTTGTTCCAACATTACAAAGCTACCAGTGTGTCCCAGGGCTGCTCACTAGTCATCCCTCCTTCACTCTTGCCATGGCCCAGCCCATTTTCTTTTCTAATCACACATCTCTTTGCTGCCTTCCTTTCCTCTGCTCTGTTTTCATGGTTCTCTCTTTGTGATAGATTTCAGCCTGCTCACACCATCCTGTGCCTCTCCATAGTCCTCTGGCTGAGGCAGCGTGGTTAATGGAGTCAGGAAGACCTGGGTTCAGATCTAACCTCCAACACTTACCATCTCTGGCACCACGGCTAGGTCACTTCAACTTCTTGGGCATCAGTTTTCCCATCTGTAAAATGAGAGGATTGAACAAGATTTCCTCTAAGGTCCTTTCTGGTTTGAAATCTACGATATGGTGATCGTCATTTTCAGTTCTTTGCAGATGGTCATGTTCTGTGACTTACAAGCCTATAACAGTGTAGAGGTCATTATTGTTAGTAGTATTAGAAATTAATATTAGAAAGATGGTTCTTCATTTCAGGGAGAAATGTGGGGTCCTAGCTGCTCTCCTCCTGTTAATTCTGGGCCTCACTCCTCATATATTTGAGATAGAAGTCGGGGGTGGTACTGGATCTGCAGCTACGCTGGTGTAGGGAATTCCCGGGTGAGGAAACACCCTCCGCCAATGCAGATGACTGTTTTCTCTGCACCTTCACATCTTACGCTGAGATGTTAAAAGACCTCCTGCACCCCCAGCCTGTCTGTGTCAGGAACAGGACTGGGTCTCCTCTGTCACTGACTCTGAGGCCAGCGCTTCATCCCCTGCTCCAGGCTGGCTCTCAGGAAGTAGGAAATACTAATCAGTAAATACCAAGAATAAAGTGGTCCCTAACTTAAAACAAACAC